GGTGGTGGCATACGACCACCGGTGGTGAAGGTGGTGCGTGCTTGTGAGGTGAGAAGAGGAGAGGAGAAAAAATTAAGGGGAAAGAAAAATGAGAGGAGATAGAAAGAGATTTTACCTATGGGTATTCTCCACTTTGGACAAAGTTTAATTTGTTCATATGATGGGTATTTATACCCTCTCTCAAAACCCTCCTAACTTAAATTCTTTTTCTACCCTTAATGATTCCTACCCCTATTCCAAATGACATTTGATTTTCTTTAAAACTCCATTGACTTTAAAATTTCCTTTTATAAAATAAATATGCCCCAAAGTTTCTAAATAATAAAATAAAATATTTCCAAAATGATTTAATAAATAAAAATAGACTTTTAATTAAAATAAACCTTTTTAAATTATTAAAATATCATAAATAATTCATTTTGAATTATTTAAATACTTCATCAATAATGTTTTAAATTAATATACGTATAAAAATACGGGATATTACATTTCTCATGAGTGAGAATTTGGCAAGACATACTAATGAGAATCCAATACAAATGCCTTCGAATCCCATTGGTGTTTTTAGTGTAGGAAAAGTCAACTAGGAAGAGAGTAAGAAGGTTAGGGAGAAGCCCCGTCAAAAAGTGGTGATTAGTGAAAATAAGGGGACCATCACTTTTTTAAAACGTACTCATGTAGGGGATTTTATGGAGTCTGACAATGATGACATAAGTGGAAAAAAACTCAAACAATCAGAACCTGATATGATGGAAACTTCAATAGCGGTGGAGGTTGGTGGGAACCAACCCGGCCTCTCTCAATGATTGTGCTCTGTTGGAACTGCCAGGGATTGGGCAACTCCCGGTCAATTCGACAGCTCTAAAAATGGAGTAATAGATTTACCCCTGACATGTTGTTTGTGTCGGAGACTATGATCGATAAGGGTAGGATGGAGCAGCTTAAAGATTTTTTGGCTTCCCTAATGCATTCGGGGTGGCTAGCATAGGGAAAGCGGGGGGCCTTTGTTTGTTCTGGAAGGGGGAGGTGGATTTTAATTTAGTTTCATTCTCACAAAATCACATTTGTGCAGTGGAGATGTAACGAGCTTAGAGGGGATTTAGAGGTTTGTTGGTGTGTATAGGTGGCCAAAAGAAGAAGAGAAGCATAAGACATGGAGTTTGATCCGACATATCTGTGAGAACAGCACTACGCTTATTCTCTTAGGAGGTGATTCTAATGATATACTCAGTTATAGTGAAATTGAAGTGGGGGCGGATAGAGAGAAAAGGGAGGTATGTAATTTCCGTGATATGATGGACGATTGTATGCTATGGGACTTGAGTTTTGAAGGGAGCTGGTATACGTGGGAAAAAGGTGTGATAGTGGAAACCCGGGTTAGAGAACGTTTGGATCGCTTTATTACTTCTCCTTCATGGAGATCTTTATTTCCCAACCATATGGTTGAACATCTCATGCGCTTCAATTCGGATCACAGGGCTATTATTCTTCATGAAAAGGAGAATAAGGGGAGGAAGAAGAAGAAGAAAAAAAAAGTTTCAAGTTCGAGACGACATGGTTGTTGGATGATACTTGTGAGCAAGTGGTGAGGCGGGCTTGGGTTGATCGTATTGCGGCAGTGGCAAGGGGTCTAAGGCAATGGAGTAGTGTCAAGTTTCATAAGCTCAAGGAGCAGATTTGTGATGTTGAAAAATTCTTAATGAAGCACCAAATAAAGCTGTGATAATGGAGCGTGTTGAGGAGTGTGCAAGTCTTGAAAAAAAGCTTGATGGGCTTAATTAAAAAGTGGAGGCATGTTGTCATATCAGCAGTAGAGTAGCGGAAGTTAAAGATGGTGATAAGCACACCAAATATTTCAACCATAAAGCCTCTCAAAGAAAATAAAAATAATAAATTATTGGTGGAATATTTGGGGATGGTGGGCTATGGCATACGCAGGAGGAAAAAATTGAGGGTATTATTAAATTAGCTCCCATTTTAGTGCTCTCTTTTCCTCTTCGGAACCACCTGATGATGTCATTCAAGAAGTCCTCCAAAATGTCACAAGCCGCATTACTCCAGAGATGAACAATGAGCAAAGACACTTTACAGGAGCAAAGGAAGAAAAGGTGTTAGTAGCCATGAAACTGGACATGAGTAAAGCCTACGATAGGGTGTAATGGGGCTTTCTCCGAAAACTTTTGCTCACTATGGGATTTGATGGAAAATAGGTTAATTTGGTTATGGATTGTGTATCATCAGTGTCATACCTCCTTCGTCATAAATGGAGGAATCTATGGGTCAGTTTTCCCGTCTAAGGGGCTTTGACAAGGGGTTTCCCTTTTACCGTATCTTTTTATTTTGACTACTGATGTTTTTTCATGTATGTTACAGAATAAGATACGGGTTATGAGTTTACATGGCATTAAAGCAAGTCGAAATGGTCCCGAAATCTCTCATCTTCTCTTTGCAGACGATAACTTACTCTTTACTAGAGCCAACCATCAGGAATGCAAAATTCTAGTTGATACTCTCAACTAGAATGAAAAAGCATCCGGGCAGAAAATTAATTATGACAAATTGGAAGTTTCTTTCAGTAAAGGTGTAAGTCTAGAGCGAAGAGAGGAGTTATTGGGAATTCTTCATATGAGGCTTGTCGACGGACATGAGAAATATTTAAGTATCCCCACAATCATTGGTCGATTGAAAAAGACAGTCTTTGGGGCTCTTCTTGACAAGATTTGGAAAAAACTCCAAGGTTGGAAGGAAGAGCTCCTATGTCGTGCTGGGAAGGAAGTTCTCTTGAAACCGGTAATCCAAGCTATTCCCACTTACTTGATGGGTGTCTATAAGTTTTCGGGGTCAATCATCCAAGTGATCCACTCGGCCATGGAAAGATTTTGGTGGGGCTCGGATAGAGCAAGGAGGAAAACACATTGGAAGAATTGGTCTTCAATGTGTACCCTTAAGTAGCTTAATGGAATGGGCTTCAAAACAAAGCAGAGGGGCATGTTCCTTGCATGGTGTATATGGGGGGAAAAATCTCAAAGTCTTTGAGAATAAAATCACCCCCATTGAGCTGATTGCAGAGAGGGTCTTCAGGTATGTGGACGAGTTTGGGAAGTATGCAACCCGTATCAAGATGGTTGTTTCTCTTCGTACTTCTTGCAGCCCAAATAGATGGTATGCACCCCCTGCAAACATGGTTAATTGAATGCTAACGCCTCTTTGGAAAATGAGGGCTTGGTGGAGATGGGTGCGGTTACTAGGGACTGTGAGGGGAACGTAGGGATGGCAGGTGAGTATTAAAATGCGGGACCCGCATCGCATCCGCCCCAGTTGGAGCGGGTATGGGTCTAACTTTGGCGGGTAAGTAGGCGGGTATGGGTACAAAAGTCATACCCACCGTGGGTAGCGGGTAGGTGGTGGATTTGATACCATACCCGCCTATTATCCGTCTACCCGCCCAGTTACCCACATATCCACCCAGTTACCCGCCTATCCGCCCAGTATAATACGCTTTTTGGCTTATGTGGTGTAAAACTTTGATGCCTAACTCATTTCTTTATTTTTACTCCACCACAAGCTGACTTCCACCAGGCTAGCTATTGTTTACAGAATCAATTTTTTCAATCTGTTTTTTTTTTTTTTTTTTTTTTTTTTTGCATATATACAACTCTATTAGCCAAAGTTAAGCATTGTAGAGTGAATGTACTGTTCATATGCAATGCACTGTCCAATTTTCATTATTAGGCTCAATATAATACCATACGACCACAGAGACATACCAAGAGACCGCAAGAGACCGAACATAACGCATTCCCCCCCAAGCTTAATTCACACATTGCCCTCAATGTGTGACTGTAAAAAAAATAAAATAATAAAAAAAATAAGGGGATTAAAATAGAAAGAGATAAGGAAACGAGCTCACCGAAGAAGTGGATTATTGCTTATGGTGTAGCTAGTCTGCCAACTCTTCCCCCCAACCTTAAACCTTAGCAAATGTGAACAATCTACTGGTAGAAAATGTTCTCTTCAATCATGTTCCCTTGATGAATCTTGCATTATCTTAGGTGGCCAGTAGGTCTGATTACTCTGCTGCTACTTCCACTGCTTAGTTTCAGATATGCTTACTACTTCTGGTATGATGTTTCTCGCTGCTCTGTGCTTCCTCATTGCTGTTTTGATGCTGCAGCTTTGCCGGACCAGAAAATAAAAGCAAAGCTTTCGAATTCCAGCCTCAATATTCTTGTTGCATGTTCCCAGGATGCTAAAACATATCCACATCAATGTCATATGTTACCAGAGGAGTGTTTCACAGCTTTGAATCAGCTGACAAATGCTTGTGCGCTATGAAGCATGTCCTGTAACAAACAATACCAGATTTTTTTTTTGGTAAGTAAGTAATTTTATTACCAAAAAGAGGGCAAGCCCTCGCTCCAAAGTTACACAACCCTAAAAAGGGTCAAACCACCACCAAACAAGCAAAAACATCAAACAAACACCAAGGACATTAAATGTGTCTGTTCCCAGGGACTATGAAGGATTTGAAAATAAGCATGTAAGAAATCTGGAAGCTCTATCTCTCTCTCTATCTTTTTATTTTTTTTTATTATTTTTTTTTCACACTGCATAACATTTAAAATAAAATGATGATAATAAAAATAAAAAACTATCATGTTGTAATCCTAAACTTGGGGTGCCTCCCAAGAGCGCTTTAGTTATCATCGTTAGCTCGACGTCTTTCTAGCCTACTAGTCTTCATAGTTTGGAGCTTCTAACTCCATCACTTCAATGTTCTACACCTGATAACCTTCATATTATGACTTGAGTCGGTGACCATTCACCTTGAATTCCTTCCCTGTGCCCTCACTACGAATCTCCACCGCACCATGGTCATATACCTTGGTAACAACAAACGGCCCTACCCATCGAGAACGGAGTTTGCCAGGAAAGAGTTTGAGTCGAGAATGATACAGGAGAACTTTCTACCTAACTGTAAATGCCTTTCGTGTGATACGCTAATCATGGAATGCCTTAGTCTTCTCCTTGTACATTCTCGCATTCTCGAAAGCATCATTCCGAATTTCCTCCAGTTCTTGCAATTGAATTTTCCTGTGTTCACCCGCTGCATCCATTTCCATATTGCATTGTTTCACGGCCCAAAAGGCTTTGTGTTCCAATTCTACTGGAAGATGGCAAGGTTTACCAAGCATGAGCTTGTAAGGAGACATCCCGATCGGAGTTTTATACGCTGTTTTGTACGCCCACAGAGCATCGTTGAGGCAGAGAATCCAATCTTTCCTGTTTGGATTCACAATCTTCTCTAGAATGGACTTGATCTCTCGATTGGAAACTTCAGCCTGTCTATTTGTTTGTAGGTAATACGTAGTGGACACTCGATGAAACACATTATACTTCTTCAAGAGAGCTCCTATTGTCTTATTGCAAAAGTGTGTCCCCTTGTCATTGATGATGGCTCTTGGGACTTCGTATCTAGCAAAAATATCTGATTTCAAAAATTCTGCAACAACTTTAGAATCATCAGTACGGGTGGCTATAGCTTCCACCCATTTCGAGACATAATCAACAGCAAGAAAAATATATTGAAAACCAAAAGAAGAGGGGAAGGGTCCCATGAAATCCATACCCCAAACGTCGAAGATTTCACATACTAAGATAGGAGTTTGGGGCATTTCATTCCTAGGACCTAGTGTACCTGTTCTTTGACAACTATCACATGCCTTACAGATTTTGTATGCATCTTTAAATATGGATGGCCAGTAGAATCCACTCTCTAAAACCTTGCGTGCGGTTCTCTTTGGTCCAAAATGTCCCCCACATGCATAAGAATGGCCGAAAGTTAGTATGGACAGAATTTTAGAATCGGTACGCACCTTCTGATCAGTTGATCAGCACAATATTTCCAGAGGTATGGGTCATCCCATATGTAGTATTTTTCTATACTACGCATCTGGTCCTTTTTTGCCTTGGTGTAGCTGGCTGGAAACTTCCCCGATGCTAGAAAATTCCCCAAATCAGCATACCACAGAGTTCCTGAGTTCAAGGCATGAAGTTGCTCATCGGGGAACTCTTCATTGATTGGGGCGGGACCTTCATCAGCTTCAATAACTAACCTGCACAAGTGATCCAACAACACTATTATCAGAACCTTTTTTATCTTTTATTTCAACATTAAATTGTTGAAGCAATAAAATCCAACGTATTAGCCTAGGTTTGGATACATCCTTTGACCATAAATATTTCAGTGCTGCATGATCAGTAAACACAATAATTTTAGTACCCCATAAATAAGACCTGAATTTGTCTAAAGCAAAAACTACAGCTAAAAGTTCTTTCTCAGTTGTAGTATAATTAGCTTGAGCTGCATCCAAAGTCCTTGAGGCATAGTAGATGGCATGGGAAACTTTTCCAACTCGCTGGCCTAGCACTGCTCCTACATCATAATTTGAAGCGTTGCATATCAACTCAAATGGGAGCTCCCAGTTAGGATGTTGTAGAACAGGGGCAGTGACCAACTTGTCTTTCAGCTTGTCAAATGCCTGCCTACAGGCCTCATCAAAGTGGAACTCCACATCCTTTTGGAGTAGTCTACATAGTGGGTGCGCAATCTTCGAGAATCCTTTAATAAACCTGCGATAGAACCCTGCATGGCCAAGAAAAGATCGAACTTCCCGCACAGAGGCGGGGTAAGGAAGAGAAGAAATAAGATCTATTTTAGCTTTATCAACTTTTATTCCTTCAGACGACATAATATGGCCTAAAACTATACCTTGTTTAACCATGAAATGACATTTTTCAGAATTAAGCACAAGGTTAGTTTCAAGACAACGTTTAAGGACCAAAGTGAGGTGTTCTAAGAATCTATCAAAAGAATCTCCATGTACAGTGAAATCATCCATGAAAACTTCTATGAAATTTTCAAGGTAATCTGAAAAGATGCGTACCATACATCTTTGAAAAGTTGCTGGAGCATTGCACAGTCCAAATGGCATACGACGATACGCAAATGTGTCGTACGGGCATGTGAACGTCGTTTTATCTTGATCCTCCGGAGTTATAGGGACCTGCACATAACCTGAAAAACCATCAAGAAAACAGTAATAAGCATGACCAGCAAGACGCTCTACCATTTGATCAATAAAAGGTAGGGGAAAATGATCTTTTCGAGTCATAGTATTAAGTTTTCTGTAGTCTACACAAACTCTCCACCCATTTTGAACTCGGGTGGGAACCATTTCTCCCTTATCGTTTTCTACCACTGTGACTCCTGACTTTTTTGGGACCACTTGCAAGGGGCTGACCAAGGGCTATCTGATATAGGGTATATCACCCCTACTTCAAGAAGCTTCATTACTTCTTTCTTCACCACTTTTATCATAGGTGGATTAAATCTCCTTTACACTTGTCTCACAGGTTTAGCTCCCTCTTCTAATAAGATTCTACGTTGACACATAGAGGGGCTAATTCCTTTTATATCAGCAATTGTCCACCCTAGAGCTGTTTTATGCTCCTTCAGAACTTACACCAGCTTTTGCTCTTGAGTCGGAGTTAGATTACTCGCGATTATGACTGGTAGAGTGTCATTTTCTCCCAAAAATGCATACTTGAGATGGTCTAGCAATGGCTTTAGTTCCACTTCAGGGGCCTGTACAATAGAAGGCAGAAGTCTGTTAGATGTGACAGGTAACTGCATAAATCGTTTGTCATACCTTAATTTCTTATCGGGAAGTATTTCCAGAGAGGAAAAAGCTTCCTTAACTTCCCCCTTAAGCTCAAAATGTTCTTGCAAGTCAGCATACTTTTCTTTTTCCATAGGCTCGGTCAAAACAACATCTAACCCATCATGACCAGAGAGAAAAAATACTTGTTCAGTTAGTGTATCAATGACATCTATACTGGAAACAGATTCACAATTAGAGGGATATCGCATGCAATCAAATAAATTAAACCGGATAACCTCCCCATCGAATTCCATGGTCAACACCCCACTGTGAACATCAATTTTAGTTCTAGATGTTTTCAGAAAAGGTCTTCCTAATAAGATAGGTGTTGCACTAGGGGATTCATCATTTGGCATATCTAAAACATAAAAGTCAGCAGGAAATACCAGTCCATTCACTTGCACTAAAACATCCTCAACTACTCCTACAGGGTATAAATTATAACGATCAGCAAGCTGAATAATCACTCGAGTGTCTTTCAAAGGTCCTAAGTTCAGAGCTTTATAGATATATAAAGGCATGACATTAATAGAAGCTCCTAAATCTAGCATGCATTTATCGTATCTCGTGTTACCTATTTTACAGGGTATAATAAAAATACCTGGATCCTTGCACTTTGGAGGAACTTTCCTCTGTAAAACACCAGACACATTCTCACTTACACTGATTTTTTCATCTCCACTCAATCTCCTCTTGTTAGTGCATAACTCCTTCAAGAACTTTGCATACCGCGGCACTTGTCTTATAGCTTCCAGTAAAGGTATGTTTACCTCAACCTTACATAAAATGTCTAGGGTCTCTTTCTCCTTTTCGTGCTCTTTCTTCTTATTCTTAGATGATAACCTGCTAGGAAATGGAACAGAAGAAGAAAACTAATTAGTATTAGGAGAAACAACATCACTTACCTTAGTGGGCTGCTTATCTTGCTTTGAACAATAGTCTCCTGTTCCTCTTGGTGTTCTGTCATCCCTTTAGTCTTTTTCGCTGGAACCTCTAATTGCTTACCACTTCTAAGTGATATTGCACTCGCGTTCTCCTTTGGATTTCTCTCTAGTTGACTCGGAAGCTTATTAGAGTTCTGAGCTTGGAGCTTTCCCACTGTGTTAGCTAACTGAGAAACTTGGTTTTTAAGTTCTTTAGACCACTTCTTGTCTCTTGCTGAAAATGCAAAGTGTTATCAGCCATTGCCTTCACAATATCTTCCAGAGACATGTTACCAGATTGTGGCTGGGAAACATGCTGATTTTGAGGTCGCGGCTGATATTGTGGTTGCTGATGGAACCCAGGTGGAGGATTAGAAGCTTGCTGTTGTTGGAGAGTTGGTGGTCTGAGGTTAGAGTTGCCTGCCTGCTGCTGTGCATTACCATATCTCAGGTTTGGATGATCTCTCCACCCCGGATTAAAAGTCTGATAGAATGGATCATAACGTCTTTGCTGCCCCTAACCACCACCAATCGAATTCACTTCTTCTTCTTGCAGAGTAAGACACATATCAGTTGGGTGTCCTACCATTGAACAAAGGCCACATACTTTTTCTTGCCCTTTTTAAATCATTACTTGCTCCACTAAGGAAGTGAGTTTAGCTACTTGTTGCTCAAGGTTAGAACTCACCACTTCATTAACTTGACGTACAAAAGTGGACTTGATATTTCGACCTCCTCGATACTAAGAGTTTGCAGCCATGTTTGCAATCAGTTTCTTTGCCTCTGCGGGTGTTTTGTCAACTAGTGCTCCACCACTTGCTACATCAACTAGATTCCTGTCTGTCTCCCTGAGTCCTTCGTAAAATTATAGTATTAATAATTGCTCACTGATCTGATGGTTTGGACAACTATCACATAGTTTCTTGAAATGCTCCCAGTACTCATGAAGTGTCTCTGCATCGTCCTATTGAATTCCACATATTTCTTTCCTGATATTGGAAATCAAAGATGCTGGAAAATATCTTTCTGCGAATACATTTTGAAAGGAATGGTGTCCTTCCAACAAGTAAATTATTCTGATAGAGGGTTCAAAATTATTACAGAGCTAATTCTTCAGTAAGGTCAAGTGATCGGAATGCCTAGGTGGAGGCCGCTTTTGATCAGTAATATTAAGGTATAATTAATATTACAGCTTAATCTTAACTGAACCCTTCGGGTTGAATCCAATCGAACAACCGATCCGAGACGACGAATTAATCCGAAGGATTTAATGAGTCGACAGAGTTTTACGAATACAGACGTCGGATATTGAGCCTAGGGCGTCGAGACCGAGCATAGCAAAATCACAAGCAACAAGTATGAGCGTAGCCATAGCTAGGCTAGGCTAGCTCATCGCAAGCATATGAGCACCATGTGTGTGCTAGGCGCATGCTAGGCGAGGCATGAGTGCCTAGGCGCCATCGCAGCCCTAGCACCATGCTAGGCGCGCATGGCAGGGCCACACGCACCAAGCACAGCCATCGCAGTGCTAGGAATTGGCGCATAGGCGTGTGCGTGCATGCCTCACACCATCGCAGCCCTATCGCACCAAGCACAACACCCATGTGTGTGTGCATGTGCGTGGGCATTATCGCAACACCCTAGCACCACGCACAGCACCATCGCAGTGCTAGGCACATGCGTGTGTGCGTGTACGTGTGCAACATCGCCCAGCAGCCTCGCAATGCAGCACCGAGCTGTGTGCTTGCGTGCGTGCCTTTGCATGGCAGCACCAAGCACAGCGAGCTAGCAAGCAGCACTAGCCTTGCGTGTGTGCGTGCATGCCTAGCACCATCACAGGCCATAGCATGCCTCACACCATCGCCCAACACGCATGCTAGGCCCTTCCGTGCTTAGGCACTCTGGCTGGGCTAGTAGTGCGTGTGGTGCATATGCGTGTTGGTGCGCATGCATGTGGTGCATGTGCGTGTGGGCGAGGAGTGTGCTGGGTCTGCGCTGCTAGCAAGTGCGTGGCCTTGGCTGGCATGGCTGTGCGTAGCAGCGTGTGTGTGCAAGGGATTGCGTGGGAGTGCTGGGCTAGTGCCAGCATGTTAGCACAGCACAACACTAGCACGCAGCACCAGCGCCAAGCATCGCCCAGCACCAGCACGCACTGCCTGGCTGGGATGCAAGGCTGCTGGCTGGTGCTAGCTGGCACGCTAGCTAGCAGCCAGCACAGCCCCATTGAGGCGGTTTGTGTGTGGGTGTGGGGACCAAGCAAAGCCTTGGGGAGCAAGGCTATGGTCCCCCCTACCTAACCTTGGCCATCACTCCTTTGCATATGATTATGCCACTTGTCGCAATGTGATTAAGTTCATTATTCATTTAATTTGGAATTAAATAAATTATTGATTTTACCAACTCTCCCACATTGGTGGAAGATTGGAAATCAAGGGTGCATTTCCCTATAAATACCAAAGGCATGGGTATTGGGAAATAAACAACCTTGAGTGGAATTAAAAGGCAACTCTTGATTTGAGTAAACCTTGATTCGTAAAACTCATAGTTTTATTTTTCCGGGTCTCGACTAACCTTCGAGACTTAGGACGCTCGGGTCGAGTTCGAGGGTACGATCCTGTTGGAGACCTCGTATTTTCGGGGTTCAAGTAAGAGCTCATAGTTGAGCGAAGCACACGTCAAAGGTATAATCTTTTATCCTTTCTTGTGTTTTAATTATGTTTTGCTTGTTAATTACATTTATTATGGGGGGCGGGTCTTGGCGGGTTTCTTTTCGCGTAGTGTGGGTCACTACGAAACCCTACACTTTTAGCATTTGATCCCATGTTGTGATGGTTCCAGCAGTTACTTCAAATAACCCCTCCTTAGCAGCATCAGACAAGGAAAAAGGGAAATGCCTTTAACTTGAGTTGGTCGAGGGTGACACCAGCTGGTTTCATCCCCGCACATGCTATGTGAAATTCCTTCAAAAATCTGCTAGCCTCATTCATGTGAACTGAACCCAAGGAGTTAGTATTACGGAAACTTGAAAATGTGGGAAGAGCTCTAATCAACCCCGGCTTGATCTCAATTTCTGCCTCATCGTCTACTATGCACAATAAATTTGGATCAAATGTTGGAGCTGCGAGCTGCTTTAATGTTTGATCACCCATCTCAAAAATATATTCACCCTCCTCGTCCGAAAATGAACTTTCACTGTGAGGTAACGGAATATGACGAGCTTGCTCCAGTATTTGAGCACGAGTCCTTTTAACTACAAGGAGAGTAGAAAAAGGATGAATTATAAGTCCCTGGTTCCTTGCTGCAAATTCCCTTAATCTTTGATTCTTCGAGCTTCTGTCACACATACACAAACAAGGAACTAGATGACAAGTTAGTAGGAAAAGTTAGCAAAAACACGGGTAATAATGTAATAAAAGGCCAACTCCCCGGCAGCGGCGCCAAAATTTGGTAAGATTGTCGCGTGTCTACAAAAAATAAACCTAACTAAAACCTCCTAAAATGTAGTAGGGTAAGCTAGGGCCGATCCCACAGAGAATTGGATTTATCAAACTATTCCTTGCGAATGTTAGAAACCTCTGTTTTAAAGATGTACTTAAATGATCTAAAATATAACCTATGGACTCGAAAACAAAATGAGTACGGGGAAATAAAACTGACAAAATTAAATGATCAAAATCAAGAATGACAAAATAGGGATCGGGAGATATATTATAGCATTGGAATATAAATTGTTCATCGAATTACATAAATTATGCATATATCTTGATGTTAACTAATGAACACCGACTAGAATTCAAAACTTCCCTTAAGTGCAAATAAACCAAACAAGCTCTTGGAATATTGTCTAACTAACTAACAATCTAGAATAAGCTCTCTCGACTCGATTAATTTGTAGCATTAATAATTAGGAAGTAGCTAACTTAAGCCACAAATCTCACAAGCTCGGATTCGTGCAACTTAAAGGGTTGGCAATCATAAGCATCGAACAAGTTTTAGTCACCTATCAAAAATCTAAGTGCTACTAAGGAGTACTAACCCGGATAATTACGAATCACAAGATAATACTCTAGCAATTAAACTAACAAATTATACTAAAGATGGCCGGTCTGTAATATAATCTAACAATTCATACCAATAAAACAGAATACCAATCCAATCAAGAAATAAACATACTACTGTCAATTACCACATTCTTATTCTCACAACGCAATCATCCAATGTATAATATATCTCCATACCCACTAATAATCTAGCCTAAGATACTGAAAAGTAAAAGTATAACTATGAAAGCTCTATAAATCATATTACTAAAAGGAAATCAGGAAATAAATATAAATAAGTATGAATCCAATAATACTTGAAGTTACTTCTTAATCTACTACTAATGTTGATGAACAGAAATAAACTACCACCAAATCCAACTATTGGAATACACATGCAAGAATTGTAAACTAAAAAAATAGAATCCAGAATACCAAATCAATGAAATAGCACCCTCTAACAAAGTCCCTTATCCCGGTAGCAATCAAAGGATTATGGAGCAGATAAGTCACCTTGACTTCGCCGTCTTCTCCTTCGCTTCACCGCTGCTCAGCTATTTCACCGTTGCTGCTCTGCTTGACCACCGCTGCTCTGCTACTTTGCAGCATGTCACGGGTCATCTCCCACACCAAGGATGGACGTCAAGAGGGTCACTAGGCAGCAAGGCAACAATCGGGGCTAGGGGGCTTGCCTTGGTGCTCAGGTAAGCACTTCCCCCTAAAGAGCTTTATATTGCACCTTGCTTAGAATCCTAGTGAACACCCACTTGACAGTAACACAATAATGGGTCGTTTGGAAACCCAAATGAAGTCCAAATGGGCCCAAATTCGGGGGTCCACAGTATTTTGGGCCAAGGAAGACGATGGTGGTGTCAGTTTTCCAAGACAAGGTCCCGAAATACGAGTTTTGGCAGCAGGTAGTCCGGAAAACGCGAGATGCTTCTAGAAGGTTCCGGAGCTATCTACAAGGTTCTTTTGAAGGAGTATTCTAGAGGGAATGTCTCTAGAATATTCAAGGGTTTTCATGTACATAGTAGAAGTGTCTAGGGTCTTCTATCCATGTGCATAAGTGTTGTACGTTCTAGAATGTTCTAGGGTTGTCTTGAACATTCTAGCTAGGGAAGGATGTAGAAACCTCCATGTAGGTAGTTCCTAAGGAGGTAGGAACACTCTAGATGTTGTAAGTCTAGAACCCTCCATTTGAGGAGGTTAGGAATTTTCTAGAGAAGCATGTAAGTAGGATGGAGCACTATAAATAGGCTCCAAGGCTCATTTGTACATTCAAGTTGAGAGATCAACAAGTTAAGAGCTATAAGTTGAAAGCAATACAAAAAGCCTTTCTTAAGCACTTGTGTTCTTTTGCAACTCAATCTCTTTCCTTCAAACACTTAGAGAGTGTGAGGAAAACTAAGGCACGAGGGTGCCAAGTGAGTTATCGGGCATACCAGCAAGGGTGATAGCTTGGGTGCTCAATTGTCTACGACACTTAGTCGTAAATTCGGACTAAGGCACTAAGGGTGAGTGCTTAGTTCAACCAAAGGGGACTTGT